CAAAACTAATGAAACTATGAGTAGCTCGGTGACGTAGTGGCTAAGCGCCGAGGCCTGCTATAATTGTTGTTAAGCAACATTCGCAAGACTCAGTCACGGGATAGATGAAAAATTATTATTTCAAGCTATTCAATTTCGTGGCACGTTGAGCTCTTGGTCCTGGCTGCATTTGCAGTTGATACCCTCCAATCCACATTGGGCCCGCGTGGAGAGTCATGTGTCACCCTACTTAACCATCCATAAGGAAGGCCTGAGCCTCTGCAGTGGGGACGTAATAAGGGTTAATAATGTTTATAGTGATGAAACTATGTTGTTCTCAAACTCACTTCAAACTCGAAAATACTAAGAGACCAATAGTAGCTAACATACAAACTATCTATCTTGACAAATTGCCGGCCGATCGAAGAAAGATGGACCAAATCGCCCTTAGACGTGTGAAGAAAAAAAAACATTACACTTCCCCTTGACGGTTGGCGACTTATCTGTTAAGTAGTTCAACTTGAGTTTAACTTATTCAGTCGCTTAGTAACTTGGAAGTTGCCACACTCATTTGTGTCGTGACGTGAACACTTTGACGTATCATTCGCAAACTTTTTTTTGGGACGAGTGTCCATATTTTAATAATGTAAATGTTGAATTAACTCTGTTTATTTTTCTATTATGTTTTTTTTATGATTCACTTTTCAAATAGCGACAGGTTTTGAGGGTAGTATACTTATAAATCCCTTTTTTACGTCTTTCTGGATTCTGGATTGGGGTCATTTTTAATTGGCATAGCACTTAGCAATTGTGTGTGATTTTTTACACGATTATTCATAAAGTAGATACATATAAACGAATTTATTTGATTATATAAATAGCAACCGAGAAAACAAACAATCTATGAGTAAGTGTATTTGAATTATTAAGGAATATAGGTGATAAAATTAACAATTTACACTCGTACTACGGATATTTCACGGGTCGGTCACGGGATGGGTGACCAAAAAATTATTATCTCGAGCTACACCGTACTTCGGAAGGCATATTAAGCCGTTGGTCCCGGCTGTAGTCGTTAATACCCGCCAATTCGCATTGGGCCAGCGTGGAGGGAGGCCATGCTCCTTAACTATCCATAAGAAAGGCCTGAGTTCCTGCAGTGGGGACGAAATAAGGGGTGATGATGATGAGTCTCGAGCATTCATCTGAGTCATAGTCATCGTTCACATCCTTGTATAGCCAGCACGCGTAGCATGACAAACTCGAGAAACGCTTTGTCTACACTCATTTGTCAGTTTCTCGGGTCGAGAGTGAGATATAGTATGGGCGCACCCGAGAAAAGTGACATTTGAGTGTACAGACAAAACGTTCTCGCGTTCGTCATGCTATGCGTGCTGGTCGCCGAACAGATATAATTTCGTACGTTGACCTTTGGGCTTACTGATAGGTATCATAATCATTTTCAGTTCGTTTTACTCTGACGAATTGTCTAGATACATATGTGCGAGTGTAACATTAATATGTTTGCGCACGATTGAAATAAATATATAATACCGGATTATTGTACGTAATTCTATGTTTGGCAATCGGGCTTTAACTTTTAAAATGTCTGTTACATCAGTCATACTGAATGAATGAATGTTTTTATTGTACTATGAAACAAAACCAAAAAGTACATCAATAAAGAACATCAATAAATAAATAAAATAAAAGATAAATACGTAACTGATAATCTTAAAATGACAAAAACTGGGATTAGTATTGATCTTGAAAATATCGTTTCAAGCCGGACTCGAACCGACGATCCCTCTTTGTCATACATGTATACAATTTTAATCAGGTCAGCACGAAGGGCTACAAAGTATTTGTATTAAAAATAAATGAAAAGCACAGGTTTTCTAAAGAGTACAATATATATTGTATTAGCACAATCGAGACCCAAGCTCCAACGGCTTGGAGTAACATTCGGAGCGGAAAATTCATACTCCATTTTAATCTAGATAATAAATTATCTCTTTTCGGCATAAGCATGTAGATCTGAAAGGTGTCGATATGTGATAGTCTCTCGTGAAAAATAAGAGGCTCGCGATGACATCTTAGATCTGTAATTATTCAGGTTATGCTACTTTTGTTAGAGCTTATCATCGAGTGAAAAATTTACGTTCTTGTACATACTTTACAAGGAAATTAATACTTCAAAATTCGAAACTCTATATACGTCTATATAATATCAGCATATAAATTCACGATTGCACAAACGTCCATTAAGGTTTAATAACGCCTTTAGCTCTAATGAATGTCAAATTTGTATGGGTACTGTCGCTTTAAACTAATGAAATTTTAATGGACGTTTGTGCAACTAGCTGTTAGTGGTAAATTTTTTTCAATTGTTTTATGATTGAAAAATAGGTGCTTGTTTTGTTAGAAAAAGATGGTCATAAGACATTACTAGGTAGTTTTTCACTTGAATAGATTTCAAACTCAATCTTTATTGCAATAATAAATGAACAAATCATATAATATCGAATAATGATGTTATCGATATTTTTATTCGGGCATCCTTATTATTATCGTAGAAAACTTTTTTGGGGCCCATGAAAAACATGATGGACAAACTAAGCGGTGGGTGTTACTTGTAAATCATTTTCTATTAGATTTCCCTTCCGTGGACCCTTGTCACGATCTCTGAGCAGACATATTGCATAGTTTTATCTTTCGGGAAGATTATAAGGGCAAATTGCTAGTATGAAGTACACTTGGTAGGTAACACAAAATTGAGGAGCTCCTTGGGATAGTAACTTGCACATTCGGTTTACAATTGTAGAGGTTAAGCAATGTTAGTAAAGGATGGTAATTTGATGCGTGGCCACATTTTTTGAAGATTTGTGTGTGTTTGTGTTGAACTTGTCATTGGCAGCTATCACAATCTACGTTGTGGCTTAAAATCCTGTTATTATTATTTATCGTAAAATCGTAAATGTCGCCAATTTATTAGCGACCTGAAATAATAATACATCTTTAGCAACAAGGCTGCTGATTAGATAAAAACACTATATAACTGACGGTAAGTTAAGGTTTAATGACTCCTTTAAGCTCTAATGAATGTTAAATTTGTAAGGTAATATCGCTTAAAACATTTTTTTTATATACGAATACTATATACTCATTAAACGCTTTGAACAACTGATGTTTATTATAATGATATAACGTTATGCTTTTATTCAATTAGATACTATGCGGGATCAGCTGGTGAAGCATTATTATTTTCCTTTGGAGATATAAGGGCGGATCTGTAGGTGAAGAGTGTTGGCTGGCCGAAGTCGGTGCTTCTCGTGGTGACTGTTGTGCAATGGGTTATTGGTTCTTTGCACATGTTATAAGTCGCTTTTATTGATAAATTCATCTCAATTTATATCTGCATTATTATGACTTATAACCTCTATCAAATTCGATTACTTAAAATTAAATATTTATTACTAGAATATTCATAAAACCAGAACTAAAACGTACAACTAATAATATATTGCCGAATAAATGTAATCTGATTCTGTTAACTGAAACTTTCCTGCAATTCGATAAATTTGACGTTGAGTTGTGTGATGATAGGTATGAGGTGTTTCATTGCGCCCGTGACGTGCGTTTGAGTGAGGAAAAACGAGTGGACCAGCAAATATATGGAAATTGTGTATAACCATACTAACGAAGAGGCTCAAGATATCAAATTATCTACATATAAGTTTAACATACAAACTAAAGATGGAGAATTTAAATATCCAATTGCACACAATAAATATACTGCAAATTATTCTCGACTCTACCTTTTAGCTGGCTAGTTCAAACTTCCCTAAGCCTTTCATCATTATTAGTTATCAATAAAGTACATTTCCATTATTAATCAACGGTTTATAATAATTCCGCGACTTGTATTGTGACCATGAAAATTTATATCGTTATATTCAGATCACGACTTTTATTAAGGTTACAATAACTAGTTTATTATCACACTTAAAATCATTTTGCAACTAGTGAAGTAAAACAATCGTGATAAATGTATTAATAAAACAAAAAATGGATTCTGACATTGACATAATAAAAAAATTATAAGACACAATATTGTAATGTCATTGATGGAATATTAATATATATTAGACTACATCGAGAGCTCGTCCGTTCGGTCTGCGACGTGAAAGTAGAGCAACCTTAGCAAGGGCCGGTTATGGGATGGGTGACCAACTATCATAGCTGACTTTCTCTAAAACTTTACTTTTCTGGGCCGATAGAGTTGAAATTTAGTACATTAACCTACTGGTGTTCTGTCATGCAACTTAAAAAAATCCCCTGCCCCTGGCCTCTGAAACTACTGTCGCTAAAATAAAAAAGTAGAAAAAGTAATAAATAATAAAATTTTCAAAAAGAAAATAAATACGTTCGTTTACTACAAGTTATTTGAAGAAGATTTATGACCAGACTGTATTTATATATTTTTAAATTTGTTTAAAACCTTCAGAGTCGAGAGAATTTTGGGCGCTATTTGTTTTTGGCACAACTTCTTAGGTCATATTATTTATTCATGATGTTTTTATTTTAAAAAGTAATGCACTTAAGCAAATGCTTGAAAAATATTATGGGATAATATAAATAATATTCTCAAAAAAAAAAAACTCATAATATTGCATTCGACAGACTGGCTAAAATATTGCTATCTCCAAATATCCAACTTTACGACCAAAAAGGGTTTATAATGTCATAAAAAGCTAGTTATGTCCCCAATTTTATTACTCACAACCGACGCTGCTGAGTGTCATGTAATTTGAGGCAATGTTCAAATTCACCACCGAAGCATTGCCTTGGAGTGATAAAACTTTTTTTTTTAAATTTAAACGATCTGATAAAGTAACACACTGTATATTTATTTCTTTAAAAACGAAAAGTGCCCTCTCTTCTCCTAAATGCCGTGTCCAACGGTATCCGTGACGATTCTCGTGCTTTCCGTTTTAGAGCTTATATATCCAAAAGGTAAAATGAACTCTATTACTGACATGGCTGTCCATCCGTTAGTCAGCCAGTCAGTTAGTCAAACAGTCAGTCAGCCAGCCAGCTAGTCAGTCCATCTGTCTGTCTGTCCTGATGCCTGAGATTCAGGTTTATTCAGGCACACATGCTACTAAATTTCAAAATTTAGTGTTTCTTTGTTTGTTTATTTTTCTAAATCAATCTAATTATAAGATAACATTAATTTGATGTAGCACTGCATAATCAACTATTATCCTAACATATTTCGATACTACTACAATGGGGCTTGTGGAAAAAGTACCAAAAGTTAACGAGATGTGGTTTCTTGCTGCTGCGTTAATTATGTCATCTATATAAATATAAAGTATATCTGCTTATTTTTAAAAGTGTAATCCCGGAAATCCAACAGACTGATACATAGACAATATCCCTTCATACCGCTGATTAAAAACTTCTTTCTATTTCAAAACTTGACTGAGAAAACTACTGCTATAATGACAGACGTCATTATCAATTGACAGCTTAAAAATCAGTACAAAATCAACGTGATACAGAACTTTTATGAAGAAAAAAATATGTAACTATATATTTAAAGCTTAAACATAATGCTGAAAACGATTTGAAAAAATATTTAAATTGAAGAATGATAAATTCTAGTTATTTACTTTTTTACAATAATTCGGGAAATCCGGATTTATTCCCGAAAGATTTGTTAGATGCCTAAACTTGGTGATTATTTTAGTTTGAAAAATATAACGAAGGATAGACTCAAGTGTTGTTTACAAATGGGTATGATAAATAGTAAAGATCTGAGAAGAAATGAAGCAACTAGTAACACTAGGTACAGTATATTAGAAATTTTGCTTGCTTAATTAGTTTTATTGAAGTTGATCGTACAGAGAGAGCAGTACTGAAGGTTACACTTTCCTTGCCACCCTACGATTGATGTATACAATAAAACAGAACTTTTAAGCGTACGCCAATCCTACATCTTGAAATGTCTAACTCCTTTAAATGACTTTCTACACAAGACAGCACTTCCTTTAAATATAAACAAATGAAAAACTTTATTGAAATTACCGTTAGTTACGAGTGTGCCATACAACTATAATTTCCAAGGTCCTCGTCTTAATAATAAATTCATCAAGGCTGTCGAAATCCAAACAGCTAACTCTTACATTATTAAAGCAGAAATATTTAAATGGCTAAAAGATTTCGATTATCACGTATGTGAAAAACTAATCTTGGTAAAGAAAAATTAATTTATTAATTTAGTTATTGCACTAGGCACATTCATTTACAATGTAATCCAACGATATAGTTACTCACTTATACTCACTCTAACATACAAAATACACACACACACACACACCTCTGGTTCTTGCATGGTTAATCTAATAGAATAATTTGAAAATGTTAAAAACCTTATTAATTTCTTTTTTCTCTCTTGTTCTTTTATGTATTTAATTTCTTAGTCTGCATAAGCTAAAGTGTAATACATAGAGAGCACTAACTCCTGACATACAGTGCAACCTAATTTGGGAAACAGAGCAAATTAATTTGTTACGCTATGTAGTTAATCAATAAAGAATGATTATAATTATTATTATTTTTAACGTTAAATATAAGAGACATCTAAAAATGTTAATTTAAACATGTCTAAAGAAAATTAATGTACCATAAGACTTAACTAAGCACCTCCAGACAGCAGTTAAATCTGTTAATTGTAATCCGAGTGAGTTCACTTCTGATTGAGTTATTACATTGAAATAAGTATAATTTGTTTCATCACATTTATATTATAATTCATTTTACTCGTATAACATCTTCGACGTCATGAAATAAGATACTGATTAAAAAGGCATGCAATAAGTTTCCATTTACATCCATAATATCATTAAAATAAGTAACTGCAAAGGCTTTGAATTGTTATCGTACAATTTGCAATGAGTTGTCTAAGTTTATTCATATAAGGCAACCAACTTCCCTTATCCAAATGAAAGATATGTGTTCTCAATAATGTCGACCTTAACATGCTTATGAAAAATTTATCACAAAAAAGAGAAACAGCATTTTTCTCAGACATCCACTTTGTTTCAGTTTATCAAAACTTCGATACGTCATAACAGAAAAGCCGAAATGGAAAGTATTCAAGAAAAGAGAGTGAGTTGACCTGTATTTGTTAGATATATTTACGTATATAAGATTAATAGAAAATAGAATGCAGATAAAGCTGCGAAAAGTAGCCTCGTATTACAAGTATAATAGATATCGTTATATAACACCATTATAAACATATGTATCTCTACCGTAAACGCAACATCTACAACACCATAGAGCCTAGACAATTAATAACATTCTATTTTGGTTATTAGCCTGTCTGTAAATCTAACTTAAAACCTTCCAGGACTTTTCCATTCTCGTATAAATAATCATCAAAACATAGGGTAAATTATAAAAATAAAAATTACAGCTTAAAGCTGTAATTTTTTTTATAAAATTATATAGTGAAAAACGAGTATTTAAGATCCAGTAATTAAACCTTTTTTTATCTAAGGTTTTCAGAAAAAGTCATTATTTTATAATAGGCAGTTGAAATTCCGCAATGAATAGATTTATTCTTAGACATCTAGCACCCCATTTTCATCTCGGTAAAAAACATTAATTTCAACTTCAAAAGTTTAAGAATGACAAACGACCATTAATTTTATTTTTCCTGTTACGAACGAGGTCGAAATCTGTGACAAGTTGAATGTAGATTGCGTTTTGATACATGTTAAAGGGAGAAAAAATGATGAAATTGATTTCAAAAATGGATTTGATTTACCACAAATGGACTTTTACAAATTACAATTTTAATATTTACGGCCGGTTTCTGAATTGAGAAAAGTACTAAATCTCAGCTGATTTTTTACGTTTATTCGTTTACTCAATAATTTCAGTTTTTTACGTTTCACGTGGCACAAAGTCCTACTTTTATAAAAGTACTATCAACTTATAATTCGAGTTTTTTTTTAGCTTCTTTTTTACCTCGTTTTGTGCACAAATGGTGGTATTATATAGGAAAGAAATAGATTGCTCAAATTTCTGCTTTTGATAGCATATTCTAGCGTTAGGTAGAAGGTAAAATTTTATTTAAATGCCATTTAATGTTATGAAATAGAGTTAAGACTGCAAGAAAAGTAAAAACCGGTTGAATCAAGACTAAGCTTTTACAATCTGATTGCGTTTTGTTAAAGAGCAATCTCGCAATCTCAAAAACCCCTTGCAATTGAGTTATATTTAAGAATGTAGAAAGAGAAATAGACGTCAAGAAAAACCATATCTTATGGTACTTGGTCATCTCTGTATCTAGCCCGTATCACTTAATTGAGATGAGACTAAAAAGGCACTCAAATCGGTCTATAGGTAACTACCGATCGATGTAAACGAGCTAGAAAGTGCTCGATTTAAGCATAGATATTCGTCATTTTTCTAAAAATCAAGGCACTTACTCTATTTGTCTAAACGTCATTCTTATAATTTTGTTCAAAACATGTAAGTGAAGATTATCTGTGCATCTGAGGCCGTCTCAGGAGTTACCTCAATGACATCATATGTGTCGAAAGCGCTTCTTTTTGGAGTTTTAATTTCGTTTCAGAGAAACAGAGTAGACCTCCAGGTATAATATATTCGTTAGCATTATGATGGATTAATACAAAACACTTTTCAGAGTAACAGCCATACCAGCTTATCGCACCAGTTTTAAGCCAGCAAAGGGATGTCCATGTGGAAATAATAGTCCTTGTAAACAAAAAGTCACACCTGGAGGAGTTACCATACATTACCCTCAAAAGTGAGTAAAAATGAAATGATTATGTAAGGAAAACAGACTTAACAAATTCAATCACATATATTTAGATATTGTACTGCTAATAGGTCAGATTATCGCAGCTCCTATATATGTAAGATCTCTGTATTGATACAGAACCTACTTACATCTTCTGCACAGTTTTTGAAGGGGAATCTAGCCAAAGGTCAAGCACTTCCTTGCCGGCAACCGACTAGTCTTAAAAACCTGAACTAAAACCATGCACTATCAATAAAACTTTCAATTTTGTTTTAAAGTTGGTAATTGTTTGAGTTTTTGTTTCACCATTTGTAGGAAGCCAAGATTCAGTTCGTTATCTAAAAGAACTTTTAAGTCCGCCAAAATTGAGAAAGGTTATGTGAATACCACCAACCCTAACAACAACAATAATAAGTAAGTATTTCAACACGTGTACCACACAAATTTTACTTTTCCACGGATAGTCTTGAAACGTGCATTTTTTTCGTTTGTAAAGCTATACTGTGAATATGAGTTTCAATCTCGACAAACTGATACCGAACTTGAAATTGCCAAACATCAAAATGCCAAAAAGTTTGAGCATGCCAAAGAGTCTGAGATTGCTAAAGAGTTTGAGCACAGTAAAGAATTTGAAATTACCAAAAATCGTTTTACCATATAATAAGAAGCCACCACGGGACCTTGGCAGAGATATGTTTATGCCATTTTTCTTTAAATAAGGTGAGTAGATATTCTTTATGATTAGCGTAATTAAAGACAGGTAGATCTCTTTTTAACATGTAAACTGAAGTTTTTAAACTTTCGCGTTGCATTATATTAGATTGTATAAGACGGGTATTAACGAGGTACTGAAGAAAAATGGATATCAAGTGCACGGACGACATATGCAGCCGAGACTAAAGAGTAGACATCTTGAGGCAAAAAGACAACCAGCCCATCTACCTTATGTCAAAGGAGTAACCGACAAGATTGGCCATGTACTACGTAATTACCCTGTGCCGACAGTATATGCTCCTAGATTAAAGGTAAATAACATCGTGGGAACGCCGAAGGATGTTTTACCATTACAAACACCTGGCGTGTATAAGATTGAGTGCAGTTGTGGTCGTTGTTACATTGGTCAGACGAAACGAACAATAACTGAAAGAGTCCGTGAACACATCACAGCTGTAAAAAACCGCCAGGTAAATAAATCGGCGATCGCAGAACACTTACTGGAAAGAGGCACAAACCACTAGATTTGAATTCCATTGGACACGGGTACCCTCTGCGGATCGTCATTTCTATTCGCGGATTGTGCGTGAGGCGATAGAAATTAAAAAAACATCCCAGCAATTTCAATCGCGAAGATGGTTTTAAATTATCAACAACGTGGAATCCAGTGATAAAAACTTTTCGCAGTTGCCGGACCATCAGAATACGGCTGAGATACAGAATAGGGATCCCGTTAGTGTTGTGTGTGGCGGTACCTGGAGAAAAAACTGGATGATAGAAGTGGATTCTACTTCAGAAGATGAGACGTAGCATCGCAGAAACAGTCAGCCCGTGACCACGGCCGGTATAACCTGGTCGAAACGTCGGGATATATAGGTAGGTGAAAAACCTAACTATTGGAAATTTGATCGCGTTAATACCCGTCTTATACAACCTAATGTAAACTGAATAGTTGGGAATATGGGGACGGCGTCTGATCACATATTTGATTTATCACTACAAAACAAGCGGTAACTAAAGATCATAAAAGGTGAAGATGATTCATAAAAAACACTCATTCTTTTGGATGTTTGCTATCTACGTCATTACAATTACTTAACTTATATCAGCTTTTTGAAAAGTTAATACTCTAAGGATAAAAGTCTCAGCATTTCCTTTTTTAAGTCAATAAGATGATATCAATAGTGAACGTCAAGTAATAGGCATAAACTCCAAATATTTCCAAGAGCGGAAATTCATTAGTATTGTTGTTAGTATTGATGGGAAATGGACACGCGCTATGATAGTCCATAAGGGAATTGGTGGTCCAGTGAGAGAGGAATATAAATGAGAATAATATAAAGCTCTAATGATTTGACTCGGAATCAAAAATGGTTTGCATAGACAAACCTGTTTGAATGGAAGATCAAAGATATATGCTTAAAATATTTGAGGTTGATTGTTTTTTTCAGCTCCGGAAGCAAGTCGAAAGTGCAAATTATTAGGCCAAAAAAATTTCCTACTTGGAGATTGGACAAGATTGCATATAACACACCGTATGTCAGGTAAATGAATCTCTCCGTTTACTAATACCGGTATTGTTTTATTAAATAAATCTCTTTGTTTTATATGTTTTATATGAATTTGGCAAAAGTAACCAAATGTGGAATAGTGTGTCTCACATGCAATACTAGAATTCATTCTTAACTTGTTCCTTAGGGAAAATTTGTGAATTTCTAATAAGTCCAACAAATTCGCGATGTGAATGTGCTTATTAATTTTGCAGTTTATACAATTTTGGGGAAGATATCATGTACTAGGAAAACATATATTCCTAAATGAAACAACTTTTAAACGGTTTCATCGCGTTTGTATTTAGTTTGAAACGTTTCGAACCTTTACAGGTTTCGTGTTCACATAATACTAAGGCGTTGATTGTCTATTTTAATTAAAAGTATAGCTACCTTTATAAGGTGTAATAAATAAGGTGTTCCTAAGCCAAATTATACGGAAAAGAGATATTTTTTTGAAAAAATATGAAAATTTTCTATTTTAAATATCCAGGGTATAAAGTTATATTAAATAGAATTTAAATCGTATTATGTTTCTCTGGATCACCTGATTCAAAATGGATCATTGTTGTGGACCTGTTTTTTTTTGTATTTTAATGAATTTTCTTAAACTCTCATTAGACACCATTGGCCAGCACCATTAACAGATAACGTGGCGTAAATCGTATCAAAAACTTCATGAAATTCTCGAAGAAAACTATAATCAAACTAATGCTAAATCATTTTCAAGATTTGTTGCCGTTTTGAGAACTCTTGAATGACAGTAAGTACCGCTAAGATTGTTAGAGAATCTAAAGCCTGATTAACTTGCGTTTCACTATAGGCAATTAACAAAACGACTTCGGTGGCCTAGTGGTTCGAATCCCGGTCTGAGTAATGTATAATAAGTTTTTTTCTAAATTATCTCGTCTGTAGATGATGTGGTTCCGTCGACAATTCATATATCCATCATATATGTGCTAAAAACTACTTTAAATAGGATTTTTTTTAGCAAGTGTGTGAAAAAGTCTAATAATATTTATTCATTATTAGTTTTGTACAATTTTCAAATGAATAATTTATTAATAATTATAATCTTCATTTTTCAGCTCTGTACAAATGTTCCTGTAGAAGTGAATTGCTGCATCTCGTAAAATTATGTATTTGTGAAGCAATGTACCAGTATTCTAATGAGAACTGTAATATGATTGAAATAGTTTATTTATTACCACAGCATTACTTTTGAACAATTTTTAAATTGCTTTTTATTTCATATGAAGTCAAAACAATACGTCGTCTTTTGTCCAATTTCTCTAGATCAGACGTCATCTCAATAATATTCCTTTCATAGCCATTCAATATTTTACGTGTTAAGTAAATAAAGTTAGCACGGAGTAGCACGAGATAATAATTTTTTGGTCACCCATCCCGTGACCGACCCTTGCGAAAGTTGCTTAACGACAACGTTCGCGGGCCGCGGCGCTTATCCACTGCGCCCCCAAACTACTCAAGGTATGTTATATATAAAAATTATTATGATTTCAGATAATATGCTTTAAAAATTAGGCTAATGGATAAAGTATCTTTTTACATTATATAATTATCTAATCGTTACAAGTAATTATACTTCTATACCTATCTAATTCTTCATTCATCGTAATATAATTAACCTATCCAAATTCCTATTGAATGTGGTGGCAAATCGTTGTCGCTTAAAGATTAGAAAATAAATAAACGAGTATAAGATTATCAATTCTTAATACGCAAGGAATACAAGAAAAAAAGAAGAATATACTTTAATATAGACCCCCATGTTTGTCATAGGCCCTCATCGCATTGTCCCTTAAAAAGCCTAAACAAACCGTACCAAGTTTTTTTAGCAAATGCCTTGGGTAAAGACGATACATACTCTTTGTTTGAGAATAAATTGTATTATATTTTATTGGTAAAGAAAAAAGGATTCAAAGGAATATATACCTTAGTATTTTGATTGTATATCTGAATAAAATGAAAACTTGGATATGCTTCTGTTTATTAATAAAATATACCTAAGTTTGTTGATTTTTCTGCATGAAATTTAATAAATATTTAAGAGTCCTAACTATCATGAATCGAAATAAATAATGTAAAAGCTCTCATTAATATTACAAGCATAACACTGGATACATATCATGCTACCAAGCTCCGCCCACTTGTTTATTATCATCATGTTCGATTCTAAGAATTTGATTTCTAATACCTAATCAGTTTGTCACGGGCGCCCCTATGACCAAGCCCAACGTTTAATGTGGGGAAATAATGAAGCGCAAGTTTTCCTTTGTACTTATTTTCCTATCAAAAACTGGTACTAATATTTATCTGTGCTTAAAGTTTACAATAACTTAATAAACTTTGACATCTTAAGAAGATGCGTACACCCAAAATCATTAACTTTCAACTGGTTTTGTATAAAGAAATAACTGGCTTTTTCTTCGTTAAAGTTACCCTCTAAAATTCATTATTCTCTGATCCTTACCTAACTTATAACGGGATGCAATGAGATAGAGAGGAATAGTCTTTCGGCTTTAAGCCCCCTCTAAAGATCCAATTGACAATTTCTCGTCTTACGTAGCTATTGATTCTTAGCGTTGTCAGAAGTATGATTGATTGCGTACCTATATGGGCACCTGCTCTTTTTATCTGTTATGGTACAAGAAATAGAATTAAGCGTTTGGTATTTTTACACTTTTTTTTATATTTTTATTGTTAAAATTGCTGTTGTAAAACTAGTTTATATTTCAGTTCCATCGTGATTGCGTTTGCGTATCATCTCCCAGAATTTCAGCTGCAAATTTGTTTGAGGCTTCTTTTGATGTTAGATTAGCAGGAATTGTCTGGAAAAATCCAATATCTGATTATATTAACTTTCAAATTGACAACTAGATTATCTCGCTTACTTTGATTCTTGACACCTTCCGCCAATATGGGGAATACATCCTCAACACTTCCATGTAGGGAGAGTTGCTAACAGAATATGCCCAGAACGTAGCATGTGAGCCTTTAAAATGAACTTTGTATGAACGCAAACACTGATAAACATTTTACTATTCATTGCTATATATCAAACTATACTCTTTAATCGAGTAGCCTGTTATCTAATATAGAATTGGTAATTACTAATTATTATGTAAAAGTCGTAACTATGTATTACTTAAAGGTAATAAATTTCTTAGGACCAATTGTGACATAAATTTAAAAAATAAATAATGTTAAAAATGTTCGATTAATTAAAAATACTTTGAATAACTTTATTCAAAGAAAAAATATTCTCTTCATTTTTATATATTCCACATCAACATAGGTTATCATTTTGAAATCAACATTCAATATTAAAATCCAAAATTAACAAATTTAGTATAAGACACGAAAACGCTACATCCTATCACTCACCGCTCCCTTTCCGATTGACTTATGCTCGTCAAAGACTAACACCACTTAAGCAATATTTTAAGATTATACCTACAAATTTATGGATCAGGAAGAAATATATGACGGTTTTTGAAGAATTGTATCACAATTCACATTTTCTCATGCTTAAAGTAGGAAGTCACATTCATTATATAAATTGTAAGCTATTATTCATTCTGAGCGGTTGGTTAGACGCCCAATGTTCGGTATTATACAGTTCGCGATGTTTATATATGCATTATGCAATCTAAAGAGAACCCGATAGCGATAATACTGTCGAGTTGAGTACTATTCGAAGCTCCTTAGTCCGTCGGAACCCATTTTAAGTCGTTGGTCTCAGTTTAATAACAACAACTGACGTTATTGTAGAGAAATATTGTTTTTATGCTATCTAGTGACACTGACATTTGCAGATATTGCAAACAGGAACGTGAAACACCAAAACATCTCCTGTGTGAATGTGGACCACTAATCCACAAACGAAGCATACATCTGGGACGACATATAATCAGCCCAGAAGATATAAAATCTCTAAAAGCCAGGAATAT